GTCTCAGCCTCACCAACACGTGCTTATGTGTAGATTTCAGCCTGCCCACCTACCCTTTTTGTCCAGACACTGCCCAGGCCTCTCCTGGGTTCATTCACTCAGCCTCAGTTCTTTGTTGAACACCTTTTATGTGCTTAGACTCTTCTAGGTGCTAGCAGTCAATACAGTTAAAATCCCTTCCCTCATGGAATTTGCTCTGTAGATCTGGAGACTCTGTCTTTGAGCAGGTAACTAATAATACAACATCAGATAGTGCCAAGTGCCAAGAATAAAATAAACTGGGGGAAAAGGGATTTAGAGTTACATTTGTTAGGGAAGGAACAGAATTATTTCCTTCTGAAAAGGAAATATTTAAAGAGACCTAAGATGAGAAGGAGAAGGTGGTAGAAAGAATTGGCAAAGAGATGAAGCAGTAAGTGCAAAGACTATGGCAGCAGTGAACTTTGTTCAGTAATAGTGAGGAGCCGTGGTGGCTGCATCGTGTTGGTCAGGGGTCAAAGTGGCAGGAGTGTGAAGAGAGAGGGCCAGTGACTAGATCCTGTAAGGCTTCAGAGGACATGATAAAGAGTTTGTATTTTAAATACTACTTGTGGCTACTGGTCATGTTTTCATCAGTCTAATCAGGTGTTGCCATGTTTCCCAAGGCCAGATAATCCCGCAGCAGCGTCATCTCATGTCCCAGTTCCCTATAGTGCTCAAAAGAAGGATATTCATAGAATGGAAGTCATTTCCGTTGACACAATTCATGCTCAGAAAAGAATAGAGAAAACCTGCTCTTCTGTGTTCTCCATCATTGACTGATGGCTACTTTTCACTGAACATAATCCTTAAAACCACCAGGAAATGATGTTAAGAAGTGTTCCCCTCACCCCCAACTGTGCAAGCCTGTGGTTACCAGATTTGGCCACTAGATGGTGGCTGCATATCAGTTCCTTGAAACAATGAGTTTCTTATTTGACAAAGGTATTAAATAATAAATTAATGTATTAAAGACACAAATAAATATATGTGCATTTAAAATTCCTTTGGTTGAAAAGATCAGGTCATGGCTCCGGCTGTGGAACAGATTCCTCCTACTGCTCATTCGCCCTGTTCCTTATTTGAGGTTTCCTGGAGTGTTTTCTTCTTGGCCTCCTATATTTTCTCTGGATGATTTCATTCACTCCCACAGCTTCATCTATGCAGTGTTTATGCTAATGATGTTCCAATTAATATCTTCACCGGGTATTCTCTAGACCTCCAGACCTATAATCCCAGCTGCTCTTAGATAGCAGATAGATGGCTTTTGGTACCTCCAAACTCAATAAACTTTAAACCAAACTCACAATCTTTCTTCTTGACTACTTCCTTCCCTTGAAATATTTTTCTTCTTATCTCAGTTAATGGTGTTACAGCTTCATCAGTTGTCTTGAAGAAGAATCTCTGAGTTACTGATTTCCTCCTGCTGCCCACTCCCCATATTCACTTTGTCTTGAGGTACTGTTGATTTTACTTCCGAAATGTCTTGCCAATGCATTTATTCCCTTTTTATTTTCTCACCTGCATCACTGTTTCCATTCATGTAATAAATCCTTAACTGAAATCTGTTTGCCATTTTACATTCCGTTGTCCATACATCCTTCGGAAAAAAACCTTGTCAAAACTTAGATTTGAACTAGTCACTTCTTTGCTTTAAATTTTTCTGCTCGGAGAATAAAGTCCAAACCCCATATTCTACTATTCAGAGCCTTCAAGGTATGGCTCCACCCACCTTCCCAGCCTCTTTCTGGCTCCTCTCTGCCACACAGCCATATTGAGTGTTCAGAGTCCCTAGTAGGGCCATGGACTCTCTTGACTGTGTCCCTTTTTCACATGCTTCTTGTCCTAGAACCTCTCTGTCTCTCCTGTTGGCCTCCTGTTTTTCATTGTAGTATACCTGTAGTAAAGCTTAGCCCTTCTTTCCATAGGACTCTAAGGAGTGGGAGACTTCCTCCTCAGTGCTCTCACTGCACACACAGCCATTGTAACGTTTATCTGGTGGACTGTGCTTACTCATCTGCATGTCTGCATCCTGCCCCTGAACTGAGATTGCTTTCCAGCAGGTAGTGTTCTTTTTCCATCTTTGTGTCTCCAGCAACTTGCATGAGTCTTGGGGTACTCAGCCACTCTTGTTTTAGTGAACAGACAAATGAATGAATTCTGATTCCCTCTGCATTTTTTCCATTGGGCAAGAAAGGCCTTCCTCTGTTCCTCTTTCTCCTCCAGTTGCTCTCATGAATAATTTCACATGAGAAAAGAAGGGGAAAGGATATCTGGAGATACTGTCTTCCAGACACAGAAAACAGACCATTCTAGGAAAAGTAAGCTTTAGGAAGAGGTGGGAGCTGGGGCCATAGTCGGAATCACCAAAGCCCAGGAGCCCAAAGGGGGGTCCCCCAGTGCTTTACTGTTTCATAGTCATAACCATAACAGTCAGGTAAGCAATGAAATTAGGTTCAGATTTTAGTTTTCAGATTCCCCATCACCCACACCATTGCTCACTTGTGCTAATATCAGTTCAGTGTAAAAGGAGACTTTTGGGTGAGAGCTAGTTCCATAGTCATAGCCATGACCTGTGGGGTTCCTGTGTTGCATATACGATATTCCATGTTACAGGACCATTTTCAACCTCCCAAGGGAAAATGTAAGTGAACAGAAAGCAGACTGCAGGCCATGATACTTTTTCTTTTCCTGTTGCTGATCTTTTCAACCAAAGGAATTTTAAGTGCACGTATGTTTGGTTTGTCTTTAGCACATTAATTTATTCTTCCTCCCTTACTGCACACATGGTGGTGGCACTGATGGGGGATGATTGACTAGGAGATTACCTGAGGTCAGGGACCTGACTGTATGGTCCCCGTCTCTCTTCTCAGTGACTGGCACTCTGCCTGGCATAGAGCAGGTGTAGAGTAAGGAATTGAATCCCCACTGTTTATTTTCTTATTGGCAGACTTGAGTCTTGAGTTAAGG